TTTACAAGTCATTTTGTGAATGAGCAAGTAGTGAGAAGGGGCGAGGATACGACTGGCGCTCGAGTCACATTCCTAACTCCCTGCAGTGCTCAGAAGCTGAGAGTTATGTGTAGGAACCAGCATGCTGTAAGGTACATTTATACCTTGTAGCATCGCTGCCATCAACTTTTTTAATGATAATTAAGAAACCCTGTACAGTGTGTAAATTAGCATTTTATCCAGAGCTTGGTTTGAACTGTGCTAACCTGTGTCTCTACTCTATCCAAAGCTAAAAAGAAGTTTGGGCTACATACACTTTAAAGTGACATTAAAGTCAAAAATCATTTTCCCTCCCCCCAATGTTAATTAACGCACTTACCTTAAATGATGTTTCTTAATCCGATCTTCCTCTTCTTTCCTGTCCTTTAGCACTGCGGCGGGTGTCCGATCCGGCGCTGACTCCTCTGAGCTTGCCGTTACTTCCTGTCCCACGGTGTCTGCATGCGGGTGCACGCGTCCATAGACTTACCTTGTGTCTCTCCTCGCGTCCCGGCCGAAAATCTTAACTGCGCATGCCCCAAGATGCTTTGCGACCACCTGAGAATTTTCACATTTTTGGACGGGAGCGTGCGGGGAAGATATAGGTAAGTATTAACCCTTTTAAACGCGTTTTAAAAAAAAAATTAAACACTTTTTGCATATATCCAGGGCTTGCTAGCAGTAGATATATGCAAAAAAACCAGAGGGTTTAATAACCCTTTAAGTAGGCCCTCTCCATATACACACCATGGTATAGCAGCATGAAGCAGCTGTATACAGCTTAGGAGAAAGTCAGAGGCCCCTGTGAAAGGAGCTCACACTGAATTCGGAAGCCTCCTAAACCCATCTCAAACACAAGTGGATTGCACCTGAACTCTCTGCCACATGCGCAGGCCCTGCCTTTCACTTTTCTGCTCAGCTTCATCTGTGAGTAAACAAAGATAAACATTAATGCTTGTGAAATAAAAACAAACAGTTGCCAGAATACAATGCATCAGTCTGATGTGTATATTATTACATCCATAACAAAGTACCCACCACACTGGGGTCCCCTGACTAATACTATAATTCTTGGAGAGTGCATGCTTGCAGTTGTAGTCTCCAGCCTTACTGCAGAGAGCAGGCTGGTAGCTTAACTAGGCTGGCTCACTGCAGGCTGGGAATTGCAGACTCCTTAACTCACTGCAGTCCACCAGGTTTAGTACAGTGTGCATGCTGGGAATTGCAGTCCCCCTGGCTCGCTGCAGGCTGGGAATTGCAGTATACCAGGTTAAGTACAGTGTGCATGCTGGTATGTTGCAATCCCCCTGGGTTACTGCAGACAGCATGCTGGGACTTGCAGTCCGTCCGTCCC